GAGTCCGTGGTTTACAGCAAGAGGAGTGGGCTGCGTGGTGGAGTGCTGAAGCCCGAACCGCTGAAGGACCTGCTGCACCATGTGTGACTGCGTCAACGTGATGGTGCGAGCAGCTCTGTCCCTGGTGATCTGTAGGCCAAGGTAGCGCTGCAGTTCACCAAGGTCACTGCACGTATGTCTCTTTTTTAGTTCGGACTTCACCTCAGCCAGAGTTGCCCTGTCTGGTGTAGCAAAGACCAAGTCGTCGATGTAGACGAGTATAAAGAAATGAGTGGAGCCGGCATGAACAAACAGTGACGGGTCAGCAAAGGAAGGGCGAAACCCTAGGTCACGAAGCGTGGAGCAAAGAGTGTCGTGCCTCTCACAAGGCGACTAGTGGAGACCGTAGACTGGTCGCCTTAAGCTCCACTGGGTCCCAGGAGGAAAAGTACCAGTGAAACCGGGAGGACGGCGCAGCCAGATCTCCTCGTGCAGTCGTCCCTGGAGAAAGGTAGTGGAGAAGTCGAGGGAGTGGAGCTCGTAGTCACGTTGTGCTGCTACGTGTAGTAACACCCGAAGTGTAGTCATCTTCGGAGTCGGAGCGAAGGTCTGAAAGAAGTCAGCTCCCTCGCGGTGACTGAAGCCTCTCCCCACATAGTGCGCCTTGAACACCGGGTGTGATCTAGGCGATCGCTTCACCTTGAAGAACCACATGCCATCGACTACATTCGCCCGGGGAGGGGAAACTGCATCGACGTACGTGCCTGTGGATCTCCAAGACGCCAAATCTAAGTCCATGGCCACCTTCCACTGAGAGGCCCACGACCCTCACACTGCCTCACGGTACGTGCGAAGAGTCGGTATGTCAAGGGCATCAGGGTCTCCCTCAGGGGAAAGCAGCATGGCACAGAGAGTGGGAGAAGCGGCTCCTAGGTACTCCAGCTCAGAGTGCCTCTCCTCTAGAACAGGAAGTAGTCGGAGATTGGAGTAGGGGAGACAGGAAGAGAAGATGGAGGAGGAGACGGGAGAACTGACACGGGAGGAGGAGAACGACGAAGAGAGGTACAAAGGAGGGCAGCGTGGAGGTTGGTAATGGGGGATGAGGGACGAGCTCTCGGATGACAAGGACGAGAACGGTAGTGACGGACAACAGGAGGAGGAGACTGCGGTGGAGGAGAAAACCAGACCGTCAGACGGGCGTCAGGAGGAGAAAACGTTGGACCAAACGCAGGAGACTGAGAGCGGACAGGAGGAGAGGAGGGAAGACCAAGGGACCGGAGGCCACTCACGGGCGGGAACAACTGCCGCTCCAGAGGGAGCAATTGCGGCTGCAGTGGCGGTGGCGGCTGCTGCTGCTGTGGCTGCAGCGGCTGCTGCTACGGCTGCCGCCGCCGCTGCTGCTGCTCCAGCAGGTCCAACTGCCGCAACTTCTGCCGCTCCCACTCCAACCGCTCCTGCTCCTCGTGCGCACGCTGGCAAGCCGCCCGGGTAACGCGTGTCATGGCGGTGGGGAGGCGGAGTGCTCTCCGTAGACGTAGTGCCCCCAGCTTTAGTCGCCTCAAAACTAGCACCCCCAGTACCAGTGTCCCCAGAAGGGGTACCAACAGGGTCAGGGTCCCCAGCTCTAGCGCCCCCTGTACTAGCACCCCCAGTGCCAGGACCTCCAACTCTAGCACCCCCACAACTAGCACCTCTCATGCCCGCACCTCCAGCTCCAGCATCCCCAGAATTAGCACCTCCAGCTCCAACACCCCCAGAAATAGCACCTCAAGTGCCAAGACCTCCAGCTCCAGCACCCCTAGGGCTAGCTCCACCTGCGCCAGCACCTCCAACTCCAGCACCCCTCGAACGAGCACCCCCAGACCGAGTACCGCCAGTGGCTGCATCTCCAGCTCCAACACCAACCGCGGAAGTGTCGCAGGCTGCTGAGGGAACTGTGAGGAGGACTCCGGGGAGGGAGACGCTACCTGACGTGCTACCGAGGGTAGAGGGGTAGCGTGAGACACACCTGACAAGGCAGGACCAAGGGGGGGTGGGGGTATCGGAGGAGCGTGAGCAGGGGGAAGAGAGGGTGCGAGGAATAGGGGGGGAGGGGGAACCGGGAGACCTCGACAGGGGTACCGGGTGTAGAAGGATACTGACTTGTCGAACCGGACGTCACAGGAGTCTAGGAACTGGTGGAGGGGCGGGTGGTAAAAGGACAAGTCGGCCGAGGCTAGTGGGAAACCAAGGAAGACACATGGGACGGCGTGAGCCGAAAGCTTGTCCGCAGAGGTGTCACGGACAAGTGCAAGGCAGCCCCAGGCACGAAAAGCTGACCCAACACTAGGGGACCCGGTCCAAAGACTGGTCGGTGAAGCCTCTGGCCGCAAGACGCGCGGCAGGAGGTTCAGCTGGTGAGCGGCGTAGCGAACCGCGTAGGGCCACAGAAAATGGGGCGCACGGGCATGAATCATGGACGTGCGGGCGATGTCCATGACCAAGCCAATGCGGCGTTCAGCAACCCCATTCTGCTATGGGGACTCTAGCAGCGTCGAGGACTGTACGATGCCCTACTTGCCGCAGAATCCGGCAAGAATGCCTGAGCAAAACTCACCCCCATAGTCAGAGTGGAGACAGGAGACACGACGGCCACGAGTGCCCTCTGTGGTTAGAAGCCACCGGATCAGCGTAGAAGTCACCTCGGACTTCTTTGCGAGAGGAAACACCTCGGTGTACCTGGAGAAGTCGTCGACGACCACCAGAAAGTAGCGCTCCCTCTCAGGTCCCTGCGTAGGTGCAGGGCCCCAGACATCCGAGTGGAGTGTCTGGAAGGGAGTAGTGGCCGGACGAAGGGAGGAGGAGTGCGGAGTGGCACAAAGATGGCTGGTGACGCAAGGAGTCCATAGCGGCGCAGGCGAGGGAGGGAGCGACAAGAAGACGCAGGGGAGACCTGAAACAAGACAGTGACTAGCCATAGTGCGGAAGCGGGGAATCGACGGGTGGCCAAGACGGTGGTGCCACAAGACGATCCGGTGGGTGAAAGACCGACACGAGCGAGACGCAACAACTAGACCGGACACAGCAACCTGACCGGATACAGCAACCTGACCGGGCACAGCAACCGGTGGGGATGCAGTAGTCTGGCCGGACTCTTCTACCGGGGGGGACGAAGCAACCTGACCAGACACAGCTACCTGCGAGGGCGAAGTGTGTAGGACGAAGAGACCTGAGTGGGGCTCTCTAGTGAACGTGGCAAGAACTGCCCCGGGGGAAGAGTCTGTACAGATCGCAGTCCTCCCCTGCGCAGGAAAAGTGACTGTGATCCCCCGGTCCTGAAGGTATCCAACACCTACAAAGTTCCGAGAGAACGAGGGGATGTAGAGACCAGTGAGGAAAATAGAGGGGATAGCTGGGCACGGGAGAGTGGTCGAGCTACGAGCAACTTCTGGTCCTGAAGTAGGATCAGCCAGGGCAACTGGGACTGGAGCCGAAAGAGGTGTGACAGTGGTGTGGTCGCGGAAGAAGCACGGAGACGCGCCGGAGTCCAGCGTGAAGGAGAGCGACGCATTAGCAGTCGTCACGGCTAGGCTAGTGACTACACAAGCACCTAAACTAAAAGCACAAGTACCGACACTAGCAATAGGCAAAGGTCCTAAGCTAGGTACGCGTAATCCAAGAGATCCATACGTGACAGAATAAACAGCATCCATAGACGTATCAAACACAGGGTAACCATACGAAACAGACCGGGCCAGATTGGGGGAGCCGACCCCGGCCCAAAACGCTCACGGTAGAGGTCGTTGAGGCAACTATAGCAGCACCGTGCAGAGTGGTCAGGACGCCAACAGGTAGTGCCAACACCAAGGCCGGTCAGGATCCGGTACTGGCAAGGGCCGACGTCACGGCCACCGCTACGAGCCCCCAAGCTGGCTGGGTTGCTGCTGCAGCCAACGCTACCCGAACCACCAGGCCCCCACAGCTGCTGAGGGCGCCACAGCTACTAAGGGCGGAGCTGCTGCTGAGGGCGCCACTGCTGAAACTGTCGCTGTTGCTGTCCCTGCTGCTGGAGAACCCTATTGGACGCCAAAATAAAGCCTAAACCCTAAACCCTAGGGACGGCTGCAGTGAAACAACGAGAACTAGGAGCGCCAGGTGAAACTAAGCAAGGAACGGCTGGAGCAAGGAGCGATCTGAGCTAGGAGCGAAAAGGACTGGAGCTAGAATGGCTGGAGCTGAAACGGCTGGAGCTATAATGGCTGCAGCTAGAACGACTGGAGATAGACACGACTGGAGCTAGGAGTGGCTGGAGCTAGAACGGTTGGGGCTAGAGACAGTAAGTGCAGCTATCGGCTGCCGCTAGTAGAGCCACTGGCAGTGGAAAGTACGTGCGACCGTAGGGGCTGTAATACTGATGGCTGCGGTCTGTAGGGAACTGTACAAGTCATCCGGCAAGCAGGAACGCGGGCGACAGTTAATTAATTAATTAATTTTCTGGCGCTGAATTGCTGCGGGGCGCGCTGCCTGCAGGGTGTGCTGCCTGCGGGGCGCGCTACCCACGGGGCGCGCTGCATGCGGGGCGCGCTACCCGTGGGGCGCGCTACCTGCGGGGCACGATACCTGCGGGGGCGCGTAGCCTAGGGGCAGGGTGACGTGCGGGCTAGGGGCGGGGCGCACAGGCGCGCAGGACGGGCTGGGGCAGGGGCCATGGGCCACGCGACAGGGTGGGGCAGGGCGCACGGGCTACGCGATGGGCTAGGGTAGGGCGCGCGGGCGACGCGACGGGCTGGGACAGGGGCCACGGGCCACGCGACAGGCTGGGGAAGGGCACACGGGCTATGCGACGGGCTGGGGCGACGGCCTAGGACGCAGGCTGGGGCAACGGGCTAGGGCACGGGCCGGGGCGACGAGCTAGGGCGCGGGTCTGGGCGACAGGCTAGGGCACGGGCCTGGGCGATGGGCTAGGGCACGCGCTGGGGCCACGGGCTAGGGCGTGGGCCTGGGCGACGGGCTAGGGGCACAGGCTAGGGGCGCGGAGGGCGCTAGGCGCGGAGGTCCACGACGGCGCGGGCTAGGGGCGCGGAGGGCGCTGACGCACGAAGGAGGAGGGCGCTAAGGCGCGCAGAGGGCGCGGGGGGGGGGGGGGGGGGGGGGGTGGGGGGGGGGGGGGGGCGGAGGCTAAGGCGCGGAGGGCGCGGAGGCTAAGGCACGGAGGGCATGGAGGGCGCAGAGGTGCACTAGAGAGGGCGTGGGCTAGGAAGTAACGAGGAACTAACCTACTCGTGATACCATATCAAAGTAAGAATGCAACGGAATGGTGAGATTAGGGATGTGGGTGATACGAATAGCAAACCCTAACTATGTTGTTGTTTGGGATCCGTCACTTTGAGAGCTTACGACGAACTTATTACTCAACTAAACGCAAATCCGCTTGGTAGGATTGTGCGCCTTAGGCTTAGCTACCATCTCCAAGTTGAATCAGTCGTTAAGATGGTATAGAGAATGAGAACCAAGTAAAAACGTCCAGCAGCCGCATGACTAGAATGGTGTAGGAAGTTCAAGCATTTAAACTTGGAGAAAAACAGAGAGATGATAATATCCAACAGCCATGCACAATGACATATGCTCATGCAAACAATGCACACATGAATAGTACGAGCACTCGGCAGGACGTTAGGATGACATGCACTCCGAATGACGTGCATCCAACAAAATCCCCCTCAGACTAACGGATTGCATGCACACTCATACACATGCATACTCTCATGCACACAATCTCACATGCATTCATGACACTGCTGCCCACACTAGTGCAATGCCATGCCACACATCTTAGCACACTTCCAATGTGCGCTCTCGGAAAGTCTCTTTGTGAGAAAATCTGCCACCTGCTTGCTAGCCTTCACATGGTGAAGCTCAACAATCCCCTCCTTCACCATTTGCCTCACCCAGTGTCACTTAATCTTCATATGATTGTTCAGCCCATTCAGGATAGGATTATTGGCCTTGCCAATAGCAGTCCATTGTCGGAGAAAAGTGGTGTAGGTCCCTCTTGTTCAGCTCCCATGTCCTCCAGCAGCTTCCTCAGAAGCACTATCTCCTTGATGGCATGGTACATCGCCATGTACTCTGCCTCTCCGGAAGACTGAGCAATCTCACTCTGCTTCTTGGACCTCCAGCTCATTGGTCCACCTCCGACCATGCACACAAAGCCGCCAACTGATGACTGATCCTCTTCCTCTGAGGCCCATGTGGCGTCGGTGAAGCACGACAGCTTCAAGGTTCCAGGCGTGACCCCATCTGCTCCAATCTGTTTCAGCTGGCTGCCAGCTGAAAACTGAACACCAGCAGATGCCGTTGATCCGAGGTAGCGCACCAAGCGCTTTGCCACCTCCAACTGCTCCTTAGTGGGCCGCTGCACAACTCTGGCTAGCTGGCCCACTCCGAATGAAGCATCAAGTCGCGTATGCACTGCAGCATACATCAGACTCCCAATGAGTGACTGGTACTCATTCTACTGCTCATCCTCGAGTACATCATCCTCCTCTGCTGCCTTCTTCAGTTTGAAGCCCGCAGGGAATGGTGTCATCACACTGCGACCCCCAGTCACACCATAGCGTTCCATGACACCAGAGATGTAGTGTGACTGATGCACCTTCAGCCACCTCCTCTCAACATCTTTCTCAATCTGCAGCCCCAAGTAGAAGTGGACATCCCCCAACATCTTGCACTTGAAGTTGTCTATCAGCAGCTTTTGTGTCCTCTCAATCTGCTCCATGGAAGGTGAGAACAGCAGCATGTCATCGACATACACCAGCAGCAAAAGCAACTGCTCCCCCTCTCCAAGCAGAAACAAGCTGTGATCCGCCTGGGACGTCTTGAAGCCTCCACTTAGCAGCACCTCCTCTAGCTTCTCGTACCAGCATCTGGGCGCCTGCTTGGCCATAAATAGACTTCTTGAGCTTGCACACCCTATGGGTCCCATCCTCATAGCTGTCGGGCTGCGCCATGTAGATATCCTCCAGCAGCACTCCAGTGAGGAACGCAGTGATGATATCCATCTGCTTCACGTGCCATCCCTTCACAGCTGCGCCAGCCATCAAAGTCCTCAGTGTCAATGGCTTAGCAACGGGAGCGAAGATCTCCCCAAAGTCGACCTTCTCCTTCTGCTGAAACCCCTTGGCAACCAAGCGGCTCTTGAACCGCTCCAACGCACCATCAGCACCACTCTTCACTTTGAAGACCCACTTGCTGCTGATCGGCCGTCGCCCCTCGGGTAACTCAACAAGCTCTCAAGTCCCATTCTCAATGAGACTGTTGAACTCCGCATCCATGGCAGCCTTCCACTCCTCCTTTTGGGGTCCACTTAGTGCCTCCTCCACTGTGGCTGGTTCTCCAGGCAAGGGTGTGAAGAAACAAAACGCCATCTCCTCATCCTCTCCCTCATCCGCCTGAACCGCCATGGCACCTTGCTTGGGTCCTCCCAAACGGCTATACTTTAGCCTTGAGGGTGCTGCTGCCACTCTCTTCTCGCGGGTTGCAGTCTGCTGCCCATGTGGTGAAGCTCCTCTCTGCACACTCCTCTTGGTGACCTTGGCGTTTGCAGCAGGCCCGGGCTGTGAGTCCACACGTGCCGACTCATCCTCCAACCCCTCCTTCGCAGCAGGACCAGCACCTTGCTGCTCACCACCACCACTGTGGTCACTGGTCAGCTCTGACCCGTGGAGTTCATCAAGGTGCAGCTGAACCTCCTCCACTGCAGACCGCTCAATGTCCTGCAGACGCAAGCCAATCTGCACCTGCTGCTGCTGCCGCCAATCCTTGTACATGACGTCCTCCACAAACTTGACGTCACGACTGACCAGTGTCCTCTTGCTCTTGGGGTCCCACATCAGCCACCCCTTCGAGTCAGGAGCCATCCCCAGATGGACAGCCCACACAGCAGCAAATTCCAGCTTGTGCCTCTGCTCCTTAGGCACCATCACAAGCCCCATGCAGCCCCACACCCGCAGCATGGCAATGGATGGCTTCTTTCCAAGCCAACGCTCGTACGGCACCCAATGCTCGTCACCAACATGCGTCAAGACCCTGTTCTTGACCGTGATGACATGGGGAACGGCATCAGGCCAGAACTTGTAGGGCATCCCAGCAACCCCCAACAGAGTCTTAGCCGCCTCGCCTATGGTCCAGTTGGCGCGCTCAGCAATGCCGTTCTGCTGTGGTGTTCCTAGGTAGGTCAGCTGGTGTCGAATGACGTTCCTCTTGAGGAAATTGGTGAATTTTGCTCCAAGGAACTCTCCACCTTGGTCGCTCCTCAGCACCTTCACCAGCCGCATCGCTTGCCGCTCCACCATTGGCAACCAATCCTCCTTAATCGCCGCTGCAGCATCGCTCTTCTTGGACAAGGGACGTTCCCACGTGAAATGGCTCCATTCGTTCACCATGTTGAGGAAGTAAAGCACTCCCCTATTCCCCTCAGTCCTCATAGGACCCACCAGGTCCATGTGCACCACCTCCAGTGGCGCCTTTGCTGATCCGTCCGCACGTGGAAACGGGAACCGCGCATACTTGTTTTGCATGCACGCCTCGCAGTTGCCATAGTGAGCGCCATCTCCTTGCAGTTGCAGCCCATGCGCGCACTTCTCTTTGTGCATCACTTCCAATGTAGATAAAGCCACGTGTGCAAGCCGCCGATGCCAAGTCTCCCAATCCGCTTGGCCCGAGGTAGCCGACGCCTTCACCGCCGCGCTTCCTCCATTCTGCTCCTCTCCTTGCACACCTTGCCGCTCCTCCTCGATGACACTCTCCTCCATAGATGCCGCTGTTGCCGCCTTGCCCGCTTTCCGCCAAGGAAGGACCGGGATCTGCCACATGCGCTTGTGGACATCTCTCTTCCACTGCAGGTCCCAACTGAGGCGCTTATCGTTGTAAGCACGATAGCACTCCGAGCCAATGGTCTCGGTGTTCACAACCACATCTCCCAACCGGCCGGTAGAAATCAGGTTCGCGCACAAGTCCGGCACCCACAGCACATTCTTTAGCCCCACGAGCTCTCCATCTGCTCCCATGAACTTGGCGCATCCCATGAAATGACCTTGGCCTTGGCACCCATCGCGGAAGTGACTGTAGAGATGGGTGCGGGCTGAATCTCATCGAGTAGATCCGCACGAGGAGTAATGTGCCAAGAGCTCCCGGAGTCAATCACCCAATGGGTGAGGGGGTGTAGGAGAACCTTGGCAGCCATAGCAAGGTCGGTTGCACCTTCGTTCATGAAGAAGAAGAACCTGGCCTTCCGCTCTTCAGATTTGCCGCCTTTCTTCTCCTCCTTCTCCTCTCCACTAGCTCCCATGACTCCCCCACTCCTCTTGCCACCATGCTGGTTGCTTGATGAAGGCGGAGTCCAATCCTCGGGTCGTTGGTAGCACTTCCGCCAATGATGTCTGCGCTTCTTGCAGTAGAAGCACACCTCCCCTTGACCCCCGCCGCCATCCTCCTTAGGGTGGTCCTTGTTTTTGCCCTTCCACTTCTTCTTGAAGCCTCTCTTTCCACCTCCAACTCCATAGCCAGCCCCCTCCTCCGAGCGCTCCACACTCCGCCGCCGCAAGTCCTCCTCTAGGATGCGCGCGCGAATGTAATCCACGCTCCATTGGGGTTGTTGGGAGTTGAGGTTGATCGCTAGGGCAGACCATGACTCCGGCAGCGGTATCACGATCTCCATGCATTGCACGAGCTCCGGGTACACCACACCGCCGCCTTGGAGCTTCGTGAAGATGTCCGGCATCTCATCCAACACCGGTTGCATCAGCTCTCCATCAACGAACTTGATGTCGCGCAGCCGCCGCGCGAGTAGCACGATGCCGGTAGTATGTGTCGGTGAGTGCACATCTAGAAGCTTCCTCCAAGCCTTTGGGCTACACTCTGGATCACCCAAGAGGTCCTTGATGTGGTCAAGTTGTCGTCCACCAACCGCTTGCACCATGAGCATGTACTTGCGAACGATCGCTTCATCCACACCCCTTTCAGCTCCGCGGCATCCGGCATCTTCTCCTTCCCCTCCACCAAATCCAATAACTTGTATTGGGTGTACATCAGCCTCATGCGGAAGCTCCAGTGCTCGTAGTCCTCCCCCATAAATTTCTCAATAGAGAAAGCCTTCAGAGGATCCACGGTTGTAGGAGATGGTGTAGAAGTTGAGGGTAGCTTAGGGTTGGCTGGTTGGTGAGTCCCCACACCTCCACCAGCAACTCCCCCTTGCTCTCCAGCCTCTTTACTTCTATCCATCTCGCCACTAGCACCTCCGGAGTTCGTACAAACCATATGAGGTCATATGAACGGTGGAAACTTGAGAAATCGTTTGGAGAGAATTCTGCCAGAAATTTTGATTCTACAAACATCGCCGTCGCGGACTGAGTACTTCAAATTAGAATGCGGTTTGACCACCAATCGAAAGCTCGCAAGCAGAACTAGTAGAAACTGGTCTCACTCGTCAACATTGATTGAGAATTCACGACGATTCGTTGTCTCAAATTCGACTACCCGCTCTGATAACACTTGTTGTTCAGGATCCGTCACTTTGAGAGCTTACGATAAACTTATTACTCAACTAAACGCAAATCCGCACGGTAGGATTGTGCGCCTTAGGCTTAGCTACCATCTCCAAGTTGAATCAGTCGTTAAGATGGTCTAGAGAGTGAGAACCAACTAAAAACGTCCAGCAGCCGCATGACTAGAATGGTGGAGGAAGTACAAGCATTTAAACTTGGAGAAAAACACAGAGATGATAATATCCAACAGCCATGCACAATGACATATGCTCATGCAAACAATGCACACATGAATAGCACGAGCACTCGGCAGGACGTTAGGATGACATGCACTCAGAATTACGTGCATCCAACATGAGTTGTGCTCACTAAGGAGCACCTCACTACAGCCTATCACTAATATCAAGATTTGACAGTTATCGTAACATTCCCGAAGGTTCTCTCCTAACGTGCCACTTCATAACAAAGCATCGCGACTATACCAGTACCGCAATAGCTCATATAGAGCACGCGAAAGCTCAAGAGCAGGGCCTGTAATATCAGGGTAAAATACCTTGATTACCCTGATTTCAGGGTTCAGTTATCCCCCCTGCCGTGAAGTTTCAGGATTTCTGTACCGTCACCCCCCGGATATAAGGACGTGTAACCATTTCTGGTTTTCCCGAAGTTACGTTTAAATTGAACGTTCGACAGATGGACGGTTCCGTTGCACATAACGAACCGTCCGTTTAACGAAATGGAACAGAACCGTTTGAGCCATCATGTTGAACTCTTTTGAAGTTTTGAACTCTCACAAAAGGAGTGTTACGCAGCCATTCCACCTTCGCAATTTCCGCCAGACAGTCTATGCGGCTCGACATCAAATTTCGCACGTTCTACGTGTAGCTGCAAGAACAGCGGCATACAACATCAACACAAACAATACGATGCAGTGACTCCAGTTTAGCTTGCCGAGTCAGTGCCCGCCATTTCCTCGCACTAATAGGCATACTCTACAGGGGCTATCAGCACCTGTTTGTCAGCGCTGCCTACGTGCAGTGACGTTGATACCTCTGTTGCTTGAATCTGATAATACATATGACCTCGAAAATCAGAGAGAGCGGCGAGACAAACTAATTCAGGAAGTGCCTCCTCGGGTCTTCGTTGAATGCTTCAGAATCAACAGAACCGTCTTCAACTACTTAGTCTCGGCTTGGATAGCCAAGAACGGAGACCGACCACGCGTAATACCCATAGAGACGTGTGTCGCTATGACTTTGGTACATTTAGGGACGACGGTTACTTTCCTACAGCTCGGCTTGCAGTTCGGAGTCGTGCCACAGCACGCCAGGCGCATAATTCTCGGGTTCGTTGGGTTCAACTACGAGGTATTGTTACCACTATGGGTTAAATGGCCGACTGCAGAGCAACTTCAAATGATGGCAGAAGAGTTTAGATATGAAGGCGGAATTCCAGGAGTGGCGGGAGCAGTGGACGGTATATTCATTAGATGCTGTGGGTTCGGAAGAGATAGGGAGGATTTCAAAAACAAAAAAAGGTTTCTACTCGATGATATTGCAGCTCATATGCGACTCAAATGGCATTATTTGGGACTGGCTAACTGGATGGCCCGGTAGTGTCAATGACGCCCGGGTATTCAATGAGTTTCTGGCGCGGCGGAGAATAGAAGCAGGAGACCTCGGCAACTACTTCCTCGTCTCGGACGCGGCCTACGGGTTGATGAACCACACTTGCGTCCCGTACTGAGCTACGCCAGGTCAGAGCCGGCCAGATTAGAAGACAAATGGAACACACATCAATCCCATCAGCGCATAATTATTAAACAGGTGAACGGGCGACTCAAGGGTAAATGGAGAATTTTATATGACTGGATGGAGTGCGATCCACTGCGCACACCTCGCATCACCGGAGCTTGCGATGCACTCCATAACATAGACCTTACCATCGGGAGCCACGACAGAATGGGTCTAGAGAGCGTGCGCCACCGCTGGTGGCTCGAGGGCCCTGCTGCCGCTCTCACACTTACCGGGCCAGAGGTGGTGGTTTTCACGCCTCGGCATCGGATGAGGAGGTGGACGGCGAGTCTCTACGCCTCCTTGCTTGTCGCTCATCCCGAAACGAATGTGCAACAGCCTAGGTGAGCTTCTCGAACTTGGCCCAGTTTACTTCGTCGCGCTCATCGAGGTGAGTTGTAAGTTCTCGCATGGCATCGGGCTTAGCCTCCTTTTTCTTCTTGTTCTTGGAGCGGCGACCAACCCCTCCCGTGTCTTTTCACCCGCCATCCATGTTTTGGTCGCCCTGGCGGCACGAGTACTCGTACCACGCGTTGCAAAATCACCCCACCTGCCCTTCACAGGACGCACATGCCCCCCAAGTGAGGCGATGGCCTCCCATAGAGACACCCGCCGTCGCACCGGAGACGCCTGAGACGCCTTGAGGAGCGGGGCTGGCGTCCCCTGTCTGCGCGATGGTGTCCGGAGAGAGTGGGGACTGCACGGGGGTACGGGTTTGCGGCGGAGTCGGAGTTGGTGGCGCCGCCCTAGCGGGAGCGGCCTGAGCAGTTGTCGGCATGGCGTCTGGCGCGATAGGCGCCGGCACCTGGTCGCGCGGAGCAGGCGCAGGTATAGGGGTAGCGGTGGCAGTGGCACCTGTGGCAGGATCCAGTGCCGCAGGGAGACACGAACCTGCCAAAACGGGGGGGACGGTACTGGGACGCTCACCCAGAGATCTTCACCAAGCTGGAACCACATGGGGAGGTTGCGGGCGCGGCCGGCCCCCGAGCGATTGCCCTCAACTCGCAGACGACGCCACTGCTCCTTCAGACGGGCAAACTTCGCCTTGATTAGGGGCTAGTCCAGGTGGCGCGCCAGGAGTTTACGCTGGACTAGGGGGTATCAGCTCCTTCCTTGCTGGCCAGTGCGACGGCGAATGTCGGCGTCGAGATCCCAACGGGTTGCCAGAAGTTCAAACTCCTCGTTGACAAACCAGCGGTGATACGTGCGCCCCGTGGAGAGGCGGGCGGTACCGGTAGTAGTACCAGTAGCGGCAGCGGATTGTGAAGATAAGCAGTAGAAGAAGGCGCCATAGCTAGGAAAGCCCTAGCTAGGCAAGAAACAGTTTAGGCAAAGAGGGAGTTCACTAGCAGGAATGAGGATACAAATAGCAAACCCTAGAAGGGTTGTACTTGCTATAGAGCACCCCACTACAGGCCAGAGCATAACATTCTGACACACCCCCATAGCCAAAGTGGGATGTAATCAGCAGAGCAAGCAAAGCAGAACAAGCTCAGAGTGGATCACAATGTCACCACACATTCTGAGCACAAGTACAAAAAGCAATAGTTTAAAGTTCACAATTATGAGCAAAGCTAGAGGCTAATGCAGAGGGCAAGTGAGGAGGAGGAGGCAAGACTGTAAGAGGAGAGGAGATAGGAGGCGACGACTGAAGTTGCAGACACACGGGCAACAGGAGGCACACTGGCACAGCGGCTACCGGAACAGCGCTCCGGACTACTGGAGTAACTGGCCCTGCGGCTAAAAGTAGCGGCAGACGAGCAACGGACCCACGGGCGACTGGCACAGGTGGCTGCGACAGGGCTACCGGAGCAACTCCCCGCACTACAGGTGCTGCTGGCAACACAACGGCAACCTTCGTTCAACCTCCCCAAACAGTCCCACCCCCCCTGACACACACCCCCTGCTTCACCCCTAGCTCCACTCCCCCTTCACCCCCCTTAGTACCACTCCGATGGCTCCAACAGGTCCACCCCCCCTCAGCGGCAGCTGCAGCACAGAGAGACGGAGGAGGAGGAGGAGCAGGGGACAGCACACAGAAGTTGCACCCCCATACCCCCCACCCCCAAACCCTAATCCAGGAGAACGGGCAGCAGCAGAGGTGGGGCGCCATCAGAAGCACGGGGGACAGCGGGCAGCGCAGGGGCAGCGAAGAACGGGCCGCCTACGGGCCTGGCACAGCCGCCCGAACCGCGCGCAGGCGGCCCGAGCCGCGCGCGGGCGTGGCGCAGCCCATACGGGCCGCGCGCGGGCCTGGCGCAGCCCGTACAGGCCGCGCGCAGGCCTGGTGCAGCCCGTACGGGCCGCGCGCAGGCTATACGGGCCGCGCACAGGCCACGACGGGCGACGGGGGGCGACGCGCGGGTCCCCTTCGCCCGTCGCAGCGCCTCCCGGGAGCGACGCGCTGCCTGACGGGGCAGAAACCCGCCGCGCGCCTCGGGGCGCACGTTGGGCAGAAAACCGCCGCACGCTCCGAGCGCGTGGCGGGATGAAAAATCTGTTGCACACCACGGGGCGTGCAACACAGAGAGTAGCAGTAGCAGCAGAAGCAGTGAGGTGGGGCCCATAGGCCAGGAGCATATCGCTCTAATACCATGTGAAGATAAGCACTACAAGAAGGCGCCATAGCTAGGAAAGCCCTAGCTAGGCAAGAAACAGTTTAGGCAAAGAGGGAGTTCACTAGCAGGAATGAGGATACAAATAGCAAACCCTAGAAGGGTTGTACTCGCTATAGAGCACCGCACTACAGGCTAGAGCATAACATTCTGACACGGATGTCCCGGTTTCCTCGTCCAGCTCCGCAGTTGGCGCATTGTCGTCAGCAGCACCCAAGAAGAGACCATAGTCCTCATTGTCATCGTACGGCGCGGTTGGAGATCGGAGGCGGTTTCCCCTCCAGTTGGTGACGTTAGTTGTGTTGGTTGCAATGGTAGTAGCACTAGGAGTAGGAGTAGTTTTTGCAGCGGGGGTAGAGATGTTG